TACAGTCATGTTTGCGTTACATTTGACGGACTTAGATAACGCAACGCTGTCGCAACGCAGCGATAACGCTGACGCAACGCAGCGGCAACGCTGACGCAACGCGATAGCGCAACTTGCGGTAATTGACTCCGGCCGCACGAATGCGTTACAGCGTTATTTATCCTGCTACCGAGTGCCCCATCGCGCTATTGACGCAACTATAATGAGCTGGATAGGGTTTCATGTTTGTTTGTCTACTTTGTCATTTAAATTTAGAAACAATACTGGTTGTTATGGCCTCCTTTCAGCGGTCATAGACATGCATGAGCGTTGGAATTGGATGGCAGGAATTAGTTTGAGCACGTCCTTGGTTTGAGCATGGATGTAAAAAAATGGTTTGAGGCATTTCCAATGAGGTTATTCATCAGCCTGTCTAAACATGTAACGCCCCAAAAATACGTTAGATATAGCAACAATAATTCCAACTAAACTTCACCCCAACATGTCGCATACAAAATATAGCAACTCCTCCTCCGCTACTTTTCAACACGGCAAGGTCAGACAATATTTGGTGTTGCCCCGGCGGCCGGAATCTTACTTGTGCAGTCAAAAGCGTCAGGAGCCGGCGCATGTTGTCGATGATTTTTTTAAACCATAGAACGCATAATTCAGCAACCAAAATTGAATTGTCAAAAACTTTGGATATATCCCGCCAGCGAAATGGATCTTGTAACGAAGCTGTCTTGTTTACCGTCGGAAAACTCTGGGGTAATTTGTCGAATCGCTACCAGTCTGTAGAGAGTGCGCGGAGAGAACTGTTTGTGTGTGTATTCGGCTGACGAAATGATCTTTGTTTTACATTCGTTTCTTTTCGGTTCTTGTCGTCAGCAAATGATTGTGTTTGGTATGCTCACGAGATTTGCCGATCTTCACCAGCAATTTTCTAAGGGGAGGAAAGATCACGATTACAGTAATGGAAAACATCACATGATTGACTGCAGTCCCTTGCACTTGGCACAAAAACAACAACTTGTTGGAAAACAAAAAATGAAATAAAATTTTTGATCATAGTAATTTTTTTTAATTTTGAATTCGTGTATGTAACCATGGAGTTAGAAGGAACCTCTCTGGTGTAACACAGGAGATCTTTTCTCCTTAGACTCAGACAGGTTGGCGCGACAGACCTGTCAACATTGATTGATGACGCCCGCCCGACACAACCTAGATCAAAGGCGGCGGCGGCCAGTTTGAATGTAGCAAACTCGTTTCACCAGAAATTCTCACGCTGGTGGATTCACAACATCACGCTGATAAAGAATCCAGAGCTGTGTCAAGAATCTGACCAGATCGTCTGTATTTCTGCTATGCATGCTGAGATTTCACGCTGTATACGCTTTTTCAATGCATTCCTTTCTTTTGACAAAATATGACGGCTTTCTTTTGACAAAATATGACGGCAGCGGCTCAACGTACATATTTATAAGATGGCGGGTAACGTTACTTGTCATATGACTCCTTGGTCAGTTTCAGCGACATTTTTCTACATGTGACTTTTCTTCGTTGAATGGGCTAAGCATTTCTGGGATAAGCTCACATAATGTGTATTGTAAACGAAACAGATAATAGGCTATTCAGCCAACAATGAACAAAAGGTGTGAAATAAACACGAATCCATTCGTACATCCGTGCCCCTACGATGTTGTTTATTAACTATTTTGCAAATGAAAGCGCCAAATTTCACGATCCAATCTCTAAATAACCCAACAGTTCAGTCAATAAACGAAATGGCGAAGCTGTATCAGTCCCGCCCCTGACAAAATACTTCTCTTTTTTTTGCAATATTTAAATGTTCTTTTGATGTGTTTTCAGGTTCATCCTCTAGTCTTTGATTGAGTTACGAGACTGTGCTGCGTGAAACATATGCGGACTTTGCAGGATCAACAGGATTACATTCAAGTTTTTTCTTTAGTTTTGACGTTCGGTTATTGACTAGAAAGTTCCGTTTGGTTTTGACGTTGAACTTCGTTTGTTGACTAGAAAGTTCTTTTTCTTTCGTTTTGGCGTTCGGTCATCGACAAGAATGTTTTCCGCTTTATTTTGACGTTTGGTTGTTGACTACAGAGTTTTTTCTTTCGTGTTGCATAATTGTCATCTGATTATGTCAAGCATCACTTAAACTACCTACATACCAAAAATCACGACAATCCGTCAACCGGTTCTTGAGTTATCCTTCTTCGAAAATTTTTCAACAAATGCTCCTGCAGTTCCAGAAAAAGCCGCTAGGGGACCCAAACTCATGTCACTTCTTCCCTATCCCAAGAGCTATCTGCCATCCAAAATTCGTGACCCTAGCATGTCCAGATCACGAAATATCAAAACCGGAAGTTCTGCTGCAGTACCTAGGAAAGCCGCCAGGGGGCCCAAAATCTAATCGTT